ATAGCCATTTCCTTGAAGATATAACTTTGAAAATGTTATTTCTGATCCATCAGTGTGGGGCTCCGTATGAGGAAAATGGTTACAACGTGACAAGAAGTGATTAGATGTGAAATGGCATCTTTCTGGCGCTCTTCCCCAGTCTCTTCACCCTCTTCTTCCTGGGATGTAGGATGAATCCCGTTTTATTTTCTTCAGAAGATCAGAGTTCTGGCCTGGGGTCAGCTGCTCATTGGCTGGGTGGCCTTGGGCAAGTTGTTCCATGCCTTAGGCCTCAGTTTCCTCAATCAGTAGCTGGAGTAAATGATTTCTAAAGCAGTAAGTCTGGATGGTCACAGTCAAAATTACCTGGGGGTACTTGAGAAAATATACATGCTAGGGCTGCATCTGTGGAATCAGAATCTCGTTTGCTGAGTCCTGTACATTTTAATCGGAGGTGGGTTGTTCCTCAACCTCTAAAGGGCAGAACCTCTCCAAGCCAAGTTGGGATTCTGGAAAAGTACCTGGGGCTTAGATACTGCTTCCCTCTCCCCCAGTGGACAGTATAAAGTTGAACAGGTTCTTCTGGTCAGTGTTCTCTTTCCTTCTCAAAAGTCCACTACGAGCCCGTGTCCTCAAGTCAGAGATAGCCTCCCTTCTGGGCCCAGCTAAAGACTTGGGGCATCTAGCAAGTTCCAGGTCAATGGGGGAATAAGATTTGTTTTTCATTGCTGTTTTCAGGATTTGTGAAAATAATGCTAAGAGATTAGCAGGTAGCAGTTCCAGTTATAAATTCTCTTTTCCTGATCCTTCCATCCAATCTCCTTCATTAGCTTCTAATTACAAAGGCAGGGTATGCAGGTTGCAAAAATCACCGAAGATATGCAGTGAAAAGCAGGAGCCTTTCTCCCACTCAGCTTTGGCAAACCTACTCCCTTCCCCACTCCCAGCTAATGTTTGCATTTTAGTAGAGACAACAACCACAGTATCTTTTAAGATACCAAGAGAAGGAAACTCAGAGGCATGGAGAATTAATGGTAATGATAATTATAATAGTATACAGTAATAATAAACTAACATTTATGTAATGAATAATCATGCCAAACAGTATGATTGCCCTTAATATATATATTTTAAAATGTAATTTGTTCTGGTTGGGAGATCAGGGAGGTGTTTTGGAGCCTAGATCATCCTTAATCCTTCACATACGTGCAAATATTACAGAGAGGGCCCTGGAAACCTTTCCTCTTTCCTAAACTCCCTCCTTTAGACTGAAAGGAGGCTCCTTCAGCAAAAAAGAGCATTTTGTATGCAGACACCCAGATTTTTTTGTTTTAATTGAAATCTGAATGTGGTGAGTCTGAACTAGGGGCTGGGGCATGATTAATTACAGCAATCATCTTAACCTACCCAGGGGTTGGGCCTGAAAGAAATGAGGCCGGGCTGAATAGAAATTCGACAAAGGATAGGTAGGAATGCTAATAAAACTTTGTTAACTGGCCCTGTCCTCTCAGCTGATGATGCACAGAGTTGGAGGATTTTAAGGAATCAGTTCCTGTTTCACTGGTTCTGGTCGACCCCAGAATCAACTCCCTTGATTGCAAATAAACAGGATTTTCCTTTTTGTCCACAGGAATGCGATGGAGGAAGAACTCTAGGGGAAAGGGCCTTTTCTGCCAAAGAATAATAATAACAAAGATGACAGTAGGAATAAAATATTGCCCTCTTCATCAAGGGTGATAAGGAAATGTCTAGTGGTAAGTGTTGAACATTTTTACTCCCCATTTGCAAGTGTTAGAGCTCCAGAATTCATAGGCTCAGGATTAGCTGTCCAGGTCTGATGTGAACTTTCTGTTCTGTAGTACTCATGAGTATACTATACAAATGGGGCTACCTGTCTCAGCTTTGGGCACAGGAAATAGGATCACAATCACAGGGCTTCTTGTCGACATAGTACTGCAAATGTCTGATCACAACTCTTTCCTGAAGTGTATGTCTTAGTTATGTATACCCGGAGTGCCTAGCACAGTGCCTGGTCCTCAGAAGTTGGGGCAGAGGAGCTGTGGGATAAAATGGGGTGAGGCAGGGTCCCCTGCAGCTCACTCTCAATTGCCCACTAGAATGGCGGGAGGGAACTGAAGAAGAATCTGGATGACTGCGTGAGCCTTTTCTTCCCCTCCGTGCTTCTGGGGCTGAGGCAGAAAGAGCTGTGTTCAAGATGAAGCCCCAACAAGACTTGTCTCCTCTGTTCACTCTTGTCAACTCCCTGCGTTCCAAAGGAATCATTTGTTCACCTCCTGGTCCAGCCTCATCTGAGCGTTCCTTTGCTCTCTCCCTTCCAAAGGGAGGGCCATATGACCCGAAGAACTTTACTTTGCTATTTAAATTTAATTGTCCTTTTTGCTCAAGAAAAGTGATGAGGAGGTAGAAGGATGTCCTCCACCCCCCTTCCGATTTTCCTTGGTCCAGAGATAGATTCTTCTTCTCCTCTTTTCCCCTCCTTCCCTTCTCTTCTCCCTCCTTCTTGTTCTTCTCTTCTGAAGATAACTTCCAAAGCTGAAGGGAATAGGAGAGGTGAATCCAGTCTGGTTTTAGAGGAGCCCTCCCCCATTAAATTCAACAAATTTCTACTCTGCGCAAGAACTTTCAGTTCTTGTTATTGTTATTGTATCCGTATTGTTATCAGCTTCCATTTCAAACACTAAAGCCCATGTCAATCTGAGCTATCCTTATTTTTTGTGATTTCCCCAATTCTCTGTCCCTTGCAGTCAACTAGCCTCCTGGATGTGTTCACCTGGTGGAGACAAGAGTGGGTGAGGAGGCAAAACAGCTAAAAGCCGGCAGAGGAGGGGAGGAGTGGGAGAGGCGGTGGGAGAGGTAGGGGATGATGGGATTCTAAAAGATCTCGAGGGATGTATTGGAGATTTTGGACTTTTGGACTGTGTTATTAGTTGATTGGGAGCATTGAAAGATTTCACGTAGGGTCAAATCAGGCTTTTAGAATGATTACCCTAGAGTCGTGTAGAGGAAGGAAAAATTGTGAGGGAGGCCTGGAAAGGTAGAAAAGATCCCTGCCTACTTTGGCAGCATTGGCAGATAGTGTCCACAGAACAGTCTATGCTCAGAAGACATAGCTGTGTATGGATGTAGGGCCATGGATGAGATGACCTCAAGCACCCTCCTGCTGGGGTGGGAGTGTATACATTCCGATTCCATCTGTGAGTAGGTTTAAGCCTGTTTCCTCATGTCCTCTCCTGCCAGTCAGAGCCCTTCTAGGAAGACCAGGTGAAAGGTGGAGAGGGCAGTGTATCACGACTGTCAGGGCCTGGGCCCACTTCCTCCTTTTTGGGCAGGAAAGGCAAACAAAAGTGGACAATGGACCAGAGAGGCTGCATCCAGCAGAGAAGGAGAGAGGAGCATGAGGAGCTGGTCTGTGGGGCAGTAGGCCTTCGAAGATTCCCTTTGATCCCCCTTATCTCTGGAGGGCAAGCCTTCTTTTTTGGCCTGTAGGACCTTTTGTTGCAGCATTTCCTGAAACCCCCCAAAGTAAACACAGCCAAGTCTCTGTTCTTACAGCTCCACTCTGCTATGTCCGCTCCTCCCAGCAGAGAGAGGGGCAGGCGGGTCAGCCCTCAGAGGTCAACACTGCTCATCTGAATGCTGACAAGGAGGGCCCGCATTACAATGTGTTGGCACCAGGCCTGAGAGACAATGATGAGAGCCACAGTATGCTTAACCACGATCATAATTATCATCAGCTGCACAAACAGGGGTTTCTAAGGGCTGTTTAGACACAGGGAACAATGAAAACAAAAGCCCTGGGAACACCCCCTCAACAGAGGTGGGAGCTACCATTTATCAGTAGGTCTTCTGAGTTGAGGTAACTGTAGTGCACTGCGTGGGACCTGGAGTCTGGCACTCAAGGATCCCTTCTCTGAATGGTAGCTTCTTTACTCACTGGTACCGAGGGAGCAGGGGAGAGGCCAGTTAAGGCCCGGCTGGCTCTTAGCTGCAAGAGAGGACTGGTGATAATGTGACAACGAAGTGGTATGTGGTAATAGCTTCCTGCATCCTGGGGATGGAGGCATAAAGGCAAAACTTCACAGGGAGAAAATTTGTTTTTTTTTCAGTTGAGGAGAGGCATGAGCTGCCCACCCAGCCAGATGGAGGAGGCCTGATGGAGGAGGCAGTAAAGGCCACCTTTCTCTTCCAGCTGAGGGGAAGGGGTGTGTGTGTGTAGGGGGGGGGTAGGGGGGACTGGGGGTGGAATTTGACCGCATGGATGACTTTGAGCTTCACAAATAAGAGGGAGAGAATAAGAGAAACCTGAAATTTGGGGACATCATAGATTTTTCTTCTCGAGGGTTTATTACTGTCAGCTGGGGGTGTTTTTAGCTGAGCCGGCATTTTATTTATAAGGAAATTCAATTCCCTCTTCCTCCCACTACAAATGGAAACTCCGCCCCACCAGGTGTCCTTTCAACCGCTCCATTTTCCCCTCAAAGTTGGGGAGGGGAGTTCAGGCCAAGGCCCCTCCTCCCTGCAGTTGAGGACAGTTATGAAATCTGGATTGTGAAATATGGGAAAGGCCCGCCCTCCATGTCCCCCGCTAAATAACGACTCAGATGGGGCCCCCCTCATGCGAAGCCCTGCTCCCCCTAGCCCGCCCCCGACTAACGCAGTAGAGTTCTGGGCGTGGAGTTTTGGGGGGATGCTATTCCCGGTCCCCTGGCGCCTCAGGGGGCGATGAGATCCTGGGGCGCCCGGGGGCCATGGCGGAAGTCAAGGGGTCAGGCCATTCCGGGACGCTGGGGGCCACCTGTGGCGGCGCGTGGCGGGGGGCGTGCCTAGGCTCACCCGCTCGAGGGCCCGCCGAGAGCAAGCGGCGGGCGCAGCTGAGCCCAAGTCCCAGCACCCGGCCCGCGCCTCGGGCTTCCGCCGGGTCAGCTGACTACTTAAGTGCGGAACTGCGCGCCCCGCCGTGCTGCCAGCCGCCGCCGCGCTCTGCGCTCAGTGTTCGGCTCTCGGTGCTCCGCGCCTGCCCTCGGTGCTCCGCGCCGCGCGTCCGCCCAGTCGTCATGGCCGGGCTCGTGGTCAGTGGAACTCAAGTAAGTCCGCCAGGACGAACCCCGCCCTTGCTGTCGGTGTGGGGAGGGAGTGCTGGAGCAAGGGGCCACCCCGAGGTTAGAAAGGGCGCCTCGCCCCACTCAGGGGGGCTGCGTCTCCAGCTGGCGACACTTTCAGGTGCCCAGGCCTGCCCTAACTTGGTAAGGACAGGTCCCCTTTGGGGCCTGGCATCCCTCCCCACCCCCCCGCCCCCGGCTGTGGGAGAAGAGGGGAAGGCCCGCTAGGACGACCAGGTCCCCTCCCACCTCCTCTGTCCCTAGTGCTCACTGCTAAGGCCAGCAGCGCCAATTTCTCCATCAGGCAGAGTGGACCATGCCCACAGCTGATGGTACTTTTTGGGACTCATGTGTAATGTCATAATCAGAAGAAAAATAACTTTGGTTAAAGAAAACAGTTTAATATATTCATCTTTATACTAATGAAGTTGTAACATATAGACACTAGGGGTGTGTGTCTGTGGTTTATTTATTTTTTAAGGACCCCAGGATGGCAAAAGTGCCGAGGTCCCACTAAAGACCATGAAAATCATAATGCATTCCTGCAGGCTCTAGGTTTGGGGGCCACACTGCAGACTGCCTCTGGAACCTAAACCAAGGCCCCTTATTCAAGACAGGTAGAAGGCTAAAGTCCCCCTACTTTTATTTCGGCATCTGATTTCCCTTTTTAGTTTATTATATGGTTGACATACAATGTTATATTAGTTTCAGGTGTGCAACGTAGTGATTCGACAATTCTATACATTATACTTGGCTCACCACAAGGGTAGTTAGCATCTGTCACCATGTAACGTTATTACTATATGCCTGCCCAATGCTGTGCTCCTCACCCCCAGGACTTATTTTATAACCGTTTGTACCTCTTAGTACCCTTCACCTATTTTGCCTATCCTCCCACCCTCCTTCCCTCTGGCAACCACCAATTTGTTCTCTTGTATTTGAGTCCGTTTTTGTTTTTTGTTCGTTTTTTAGATTCCACATGTAAGTGAAATCATATGGTATTTGTCTTTCTCTGACTTGTTAACACCTATCATGATACCCTCTAGGTCCCTCCATGTTGTCGCAAATGGCAAGAGCTCATTTGGCACATGACTTCTTGAACTGGTGTCTGTGAGGAACGGCAACATTCCAGTTTCAACTCTGGGTGACAGACACCTAGCCTCACTTGCTTTCAGCTCTGTAGTGGAGCCTCAGGTGTTCTCAGTCATTGCTGGAGGGATGCTGGGCCCCGGGGCCTCTTACCTTCTGGAAAAGCCAGGTCTCTCCTTTGAACCTCTGATTAAGCCAGCCCTCCTCCCGCCTTTCCTTTGCATGCCCTAGAGAAATAGTTCTGAGGTTTTGAAGCTCACCCCTTGGATTGCCTAAGGCAGGTAGTGTCAGGCACAGTTAGAGTTTTGAGATTACTCTGGGCAAATGTTTCCACCTTCTCCGAGTTCAGAAGTGAGCAGGCCAGGGAGGTACCAGCCTATGGGAAAGGTTAAAAATGATGGGTCTTGGGGCGCCTGGGTGGCTCAGTCATTGGGCGTCTGCCTTCGGCTCGGGTCATGGATCGAGCCCCTCATCGGGCTCCCTGCTCGGCGGGAGACCTGCTTCTCCCTCTCCCACTCCCCCTGCTTGTGGTCCCTCTCTCGCTGTGTCTTTCTCTGTCAGATAAATCTTTAAAAAAAAAAAAAATGATGGGTCTTATTTAGATGGTTGGGAAAGGGGCTTTTGGGAGTTAACATGCTTGCCTAGAGGAAGTGGAGGAGGGGGCCTCTGCCAAGAATGTCCTGTTCCCCCCTGACCCTAGGTCTCTGCATTTCAGACCCAGCATTCTTTGGGTGTAGCTTCTTCCAACTTCGTGGAGCACTTAACAGTAGGGCTAAGAACTTTCTTGTGCCTCCTTTTCCCCTGTTTCCCTAACTTGATTATTGTCCTGCACCCCCTGCTTTTAGCCTACTCCAAAGGGCTCAAAGGCAATCATTAACCTGTTGGTGAGGCATTTTGAGGATTAGGGGGCTGTTTTAAGCAGATGGAGCTGCTCGGGGAGGAGCTGAGAAGACAGGCTGAGAAAATGCTCCTGGGGTGTTAGTCCCCCAGGTCCTGAACCTCCTAGGCCAGTGGATCTGAGTGGCAGCCCTGGGGTTTAGGGTATTTTTTTTTTTTTTTTTTTTAAGTATTCTGCCTCTTTTAGTTTCTAATGACAGCCGTAAGAAGTAGTAGTTCTTGGAATGTGTGTCACATGGTACTTCTCAAATTTTGGTAGAGGCTTCTTAAAGAGGAAAAAAACGCCTTCTGATGAGCCCATAGTATTTATACTGTTTCTTTTGCAATGTTGCTTAAATGTACAAACATAAAACCAGATATAACTTTTTCGAAGTTCACAGAGACCTATCCCCCAACTAAAGAGATGGCTTAAGTGCGCGCGCGCACACACAACCAACAAAAAAACCAAAAGACCATACCACCACTAAAACAATTGAATGAGATGGATGATGTTGAAATTAGGTCACTGCTTTCAACACCATCTCGGACTGACTGCTCTTGCCCTGGGTTTTAGGAGTTCCACTGGCCTATATCAGCCCTCCCTCCACTCTCTTCTGTAAAATCTTTTTATTCAACATGAATCTGACTTCATTTGGCCTTCTCTTGGCTTGAATGCATCATTTACATCAGCATTAAGTCCTCAATCTTCTTTTTCCACTAGTTGATGACCAAATAGTGGCATCGATATAATTGTAGATACGAATGCAGACTTGGAATTCGGGCACTGAAATCTCGTGCCAAGAGACATGGGAATAACCAATCCCTTTCTTAGGGATATTGGTCTGATTCAAATATTTACTGAGTGGCCACTAGGTGCTGAGGACAGGGCTGTGTACTGTATGTTATCTTCTCATTGCTGTAAGCTGGGGATCTATGACTCACTGGGCTATTTCATGAAGATTGACTAGGTAACAGCCAGGTGGTAGGCTTTAATAAATGTTGGTTCCCTTATTCGTCATACCTTTTGGATGCGGTTAGTGTTAGACTAGTTTACAGAAGAGGAGACAAACTGAGATTGTGACCCATCCAGGATAACACAGCCAGTAAGTAGCAGCACGGGGACTGTTTCTATTCTGACAGAGCTTTCAGTACAGATTTAAAATCAAGGATCTTCCACCCCCGCTGGTTGGGGTCAGGCATCAGAAAATAATCATCTCTACACACAGTCTACTAACAAATCTGTCCTCAGAAATGTCCAGAGGGCCTGTCTCAACTGCAAAGAGAAATCTGTAGTCTTCTGATCAGGTTGGTAATTCCCTGTGGCCTCTGCTCAGAGGGGCTGGCTGTGTGTATGTGTGGGAATTTTGCACAGACCTTCTTGTTTTCCTCTTTCGTACCCCTCTTTGGTGAGGGGTGCAGGGGGAGGATCTTCATATGTTTTCATTTCCCTGGTAGTAGTGTCCCTTTCTGTTACCGTTCCACACGGGGGGTAGAAGTCTTGGGATACTGGTGCTATAAGGTAGGCAAATGAAAAGTACGAAACTTGGCTCTTCAGTCTAAAAGTAATTGACTCAACACAATGACTTGTTCTGGATGTGCTTTTGCTTCTGTGGCCTTTAGGGTCTGTTAATCTCCATTTCCCTTATTTGCTCATGTAACAAACTGTTTTTGGTCTGGCTCTTCTGGCTTGTTACATGAGGTTGGGCCTACGCTCCAAGAAGCTTCCTGACATCCTGAGAGGTAATGTCTTCCACTCAGGAGCACTTCCTAAACATGACTTTCGTCTCGTTATGAGTTGGTTGCAGTGCCTGGTGGTGGCTGCTTGCTGCTTTTAAGCCTTGTCCCTCAGATTTGGACCCTTAAATGTGGTTAGCTTAACTCACATCTCTAAATACTCCCAGTTTAGCATGGGGGTTGGTGGGGGTGAGGTGTCCAAGCATGCGGATGGCTTATCAAGTTGGTTTTCATACTAAATTTGTGAGACCTGGTCTTCACTGCAGAACAAATTGTGCTTTAGTTTTCCTGGGATGTTGGGGTAAGCTGTTGTAATAAAACAAGCTGATAAAAGTCTTCTTAGGCATGTAAATGGTCTGCATGCTTCATGGTGATAGCTTTCTTGGTGCTCCTTTTGCCACTTGAAAGGGGATCCTACAGAAGAAGGAGGGGAGCAAATCTCCCTCCTTTCCCCAGGTTCTGATGCTCCTCTGGGGCTCTCAATATCCTATCATGAGGTAGTTCACGACCTTTCAGCTAGGAAGACGCATTTTTGAAGCCAAAACATGATGATAGATGTACCACTGGTGTTTATTGATCCAGAAAATCTACATCCACGTGTGGATTTGTAAGAACTCCATGGCTCCCAAATTGGAAGTTCCTATTCCTGGTGCAGGGCTTTATCATTAAGAAGCTGTATTACCCTGGATATGCTGCTGAAGTCTTAGTTTCTTTGTAAAAACATGACGGGTTTTGAGAAACTGGGTCCCTACAAGATTGAGTCCTTGGTTGAGTCTATAAGGACAGAGCTCAGTTTCCGCATCTAAACCTCAGCCTCTATGCTGTATACACCATGGAGATCTTGAATAATGATATCTATAAGATGGGGGTGCATGATGGGGTAAAAGGGATGGGTTTTCTGGTGATTTCCGTGGGCCTGCAGGGTCAATGTGGTATTCTAATACAGAAACTGCTGCTGATCAAGTGGGCATCCTGAGGGAAATTGAAGTCTGTAGATTGATTGGGACCTTATATCCCCAGTCTTTTCTTGCTATATGATTTCCATCTCTGCTTGGAAGCAGAAGTTTATTACACAAGGAGTTCTGAGGAACAGCTGGTCCCATGTAGAAAAGGGAGGTTGCTAGATTGAACTTTGAGACCTTTATTTTTTAGCCTGTGTCTTCCTGAGTCCAAATTATCTTATCAGAATCAGCTATTTTTCTGTCCTTTCTCCCCGCCCCCGTCCTCCAGAAATGAAGTTACTAAAGGAGTGAGTACAGGATCCTGTACTGTCAGCAGTTTGACCCCACTGGATAGGACGGAGAGTAGACTTGAAAATTGAGCGTATTAGGGTGCAGTGTGATTTTTATTAGGCGGAGTCCTATGAAGGTGCTATTTCTGTAGTTCTAGGATTGAGTATTAGTCATAATGTTCAACCTAATATCTAGAGTTCTATATGGCCACCATATTCTTGTTCCCCATTAGGAAGCATAACCCCCTGGGGAGTCTCTTACTTATTCCAAGACATTCTTACCTTACGTGTAGGAGGATATGCATTTGTGGGGAGAAAGGATCAAGACTGTAGGCATGTAATAGGCCTGAATTTCTACCTGGCCGTCGGGGGTAGGGAGTCCTTTACGGAAGTATCCTATGTTTTGATCCACTAGCCAACTCTCACCCATGGGTTTGTTTTATGGATTTTGGAATTTGTGCCCTGTGGTTGAATTGGCAACTGTCTGTAAAAAATGGTTTTCAAAGATTGAGTAGTTGGAGCTGTGAGGAAGCCCTCTGACCTTCCTACAGTCAAATTGTGGCATCAAATTACAATTCAGCTTCTTAATATTTGGGCACACACTAGATTGTTAATAATGATAAAATAAGTAAAAGAAGGCCTAAGGGAAGAGCTCTGCAACCCGAGTAGGGTTGGTTGCAAAAGGCTCCCTGGAGAAGAGAGACTTGGAAGCTGTGGCCACCTTTCGTTTCCCTGTCGCCTTCAAATCCGCTTCGTACAGAGTGGGGGACATTTTATACGAAGTGGTAATAGGATGGGATTGGCGGTCTGGGGAGGTTTTCTTGTCCAACCCTATTTTTTTCCAGCACCCTGCAGGTGGAATGCTGGTAAGTGCATCTGCTGTGTCTTTTATGAGGTAATGTGCATAACAGGGTATTTGGGCGGCTGGTGGGGGCGACAGGGGAGGAGAGGGAGGCGGAGAGCCAGAAGGGCAGCTGTTGGGAAGGCCCCTGAGCGAGAGGCTGATTGCTGTGATTATATCGGTGTGCTCTGACATGGGGGCTTTTCTGGACACCTGAATCTGGCCAATTTTAGTCCAATTTCCATTGTGCTGGGATTAGTCTCCATCATGCTAAGTGTACCAGGAAAGGGGAGCTGTTGGCAGAGTCCTTGAAGCCCCCAAAGCTGATTTGATCAGGAAAACAGTCACAAATGTGGCCTTTTTTGTGTGTGAGGAGTGCGTGCATTTAAAGTTGCGGAAGCAATCTTTAGATCAATGACTCCCGGTTGGGAGCAGCTGGGCGATTTCCGTTTGCCACATTGTTTCTGTTCCCTTTAATTTCCAGGTGTCCTACATAGGCCAGGACTGCAGAGAAATTCCAGAGCACCTTGGCAGGGACTGTGGACATTTCGCAAAGAGGCTCGATCTGAGCTTTAACCTTCTGAGGTATGTACCGTTCACAAGATGCAGACCAGGCCAGGGAGGAACCAGTGCCCCTGGTCACGGCCTCTAGGTCCAAGTCACCGTCCAGTTCTGCATAGGGTGTGGGGCTCTGAGACATGTGGAATCACACCCCAAAAGTGGGACTTTGCTTCAGATGAATCTTTGGCTAGCCTCTTTGTGCCACTGAAAAAGCTGTGAGCATGGACCATCTCCCCCGAGGTCCTATTAGAGGACCATTGCCATGTTGCATTGTTCTTTTCCTTTCTTACTGATACCTATGCAGAAAAAGTTAGAATACTCTTGGGGAAGGAATGAGATGGAACCAACAAGAGCATTTTGTGGCATTTAGGAATGCTTTTCCGGGTAACCCCATCTCCCAAAGATATGCCAAATCACAGGTAAGGTGCATATATGTGTGTGTTTTCTTTCTTTGATTTTTTTTTTTTAATGAATTGGAACCTTAAATATTTTGTGGTGATTTCTCCCAGATGGTATTTCAAAGCAATTCAGACACTGTTGGCATGGGGCAGGTGGGAGGGGAACTCTAACAACTGTTCCAATCTTGGCAAAAGTTAAGTGTGATCTTCTATACTATTCCATTGGAGGATACAGACAGTGATTTCATTTCTTCATAGAAGGTTACCAGTTGTGAGTGGTTTGGGGGCTTGGAAGAGGGAAGTAGGAGGTACTTGGAAAGCAGATATCAGTGGGATAAATGAGCAGGGGTTAGGGTGGTGGTTTTCCTAATAAGCTGTCCTGTCCTCCGAAAGCAACAAACTGTCTTGGGGTGGAAGAAGAGATGAGGAGCTCGAATCCCACCCAGGGCTCAGGCATTTTTGTGTTTCCACGCCTTGGAGTATTTTCTCTCCCAGCCTCTGAGGACCCTGGGGAATTAAGAATTTGAGAGAAGATGGATGAAACTCAGGGCGTTAAGGCCCCAGTAGGTAGAGGGGACTTGAAGCCGACAGAGCTTTTTGGGCTGGTCCTTACTGAGATGCATGGTCTTCTGGGAAGAGATGTCCAGAGGGTTATGTAGAAAGAGAGTGGGTGCTGAGTGCGTGCATGCAAGGGTTTGTATGCTTCTGGGGAGATGTGGAAACTGAAAAGTCACAAACTAATAGGTAGTGATGAGGATGCCAAACAAAGAAATGCTGACTCTAAAGAAATGAAGGATGATTTTTGGTCCTGATACCCAAGGACAGGACAAAAGTACACAGCCTGGACTGGATGGATGGTGCCTGAGAGGTGTGTGCCCCTTAAAAAGCTCCCCAGTGCAGACGCAGGGAAAGAGTTTCTTTGCTTGGACATTGGAAGGAGCTCTTTCTGTGTGCCTGGCTTCCAGAAGCTTGGGGCATTGTGGCTCAGGCTGTGGCTGCCTTGCTGGTGGGAGCCCGGATGTGGGTTGGAGGAGGCTGGGCCCCATGAGGGAGTGTGTCAGCGGGGACAGGTCATGGGACTGAGCTGTCAGGTCTGAGGAAACAGAGCTGTCTTTGTCAAATGCAGAGGCCCTGCCTCCCTTTGGCAGAGAATGGGCTGGACCCCGAGAGGTAGGGGGTGTGTGTGTGTGTGTGTGTGTGTGTGTGTGTGTGTGTGTGTGTGTGTGTGTGTGTGAGAGAGAGAGAGAGAGAGAGAGAGAGAGAGAGA